CCCGCCACCTCTGCCCGCGAGTACTGCTGGCACCGCGGCTCACGGCAGCCTGCCGCGAAGCTGACGTTGGCCATCAGTGTCTCCAGCCCTCTCCTGCACCAGGGAAGAGCAGAGGGCACGGGGGCTGCTGGGCCCCAGGGTCGGGGCACCTTGGGGATGACCCCCCTCGCCCTGGCCCCCAGCGAAGGGTAGAGCGGCTCCAGCAGCAGCCCCAGGAAGTGCCCAGGACCAGGGGATGGACGGCAGCACCGCACTGTCTCACCGGGGAGTGTAGATGTACCGCGGCTCCGGCACCGGCGCATAGTCCCCAAACAGCACCCGGGGGTTGTCGGCGAAGGGACCCACCACCTGCAGAGGGCAGAGGGGTGAGGGTGGGCACTGGCAGCCCTGTGCCACGCAGCCTGTGGCTCTCCAAAGGAGGGGACACCTGCGTGCCCGGGGTATGGAGCCAGCAGCCCCTGGGTCGCCGTGTCCCCCTGCACGCCTCCATGCACGGTGCTCACTGCAAGGCGCTTGCCGGGCAGGTCCCGGGCCCGGAGGGGCAGCGTCCCCCGCACGTTCTTCAGCAGCACGAAGCTCTTGACAGCAGCTTCCAGCGAGAGGTTGCGGTGCTCGGGGCTCTGCACGGCGCTCAGGTCCAGGGTGCTGTAGGGGTTCATGGCCGGGGGATCGAACTCTCCCAGCCGCATCCGCGTGTAGAAGAGGGGCCGGACCCGGTCGCGCAGCATCTGTGAAGACCCCGACACCAAAACCTCGGCTGTGCTTGGCGGGGGCAACCCCGGCTCCCTGCCCGCGCCCCTGGCCCCGCTCCCCCCGGCTCACCTGCAGTGTGATGTTGCCCATGGCCAGAGCTTGGGGGATGTGCATGAAGACATTGTTCCTCATGCCGTAGGAGAGCTCCAGGTTGCAGCCGGCATTCATTGAGGCTGCCATGTCGGTGAGAAGGGAAACCGCTCGTCACGGCTGCGTGATGCCCGGGGACCCCGCGCCCGTCCCACGAGCTCACCGACTGCCGTCTCCAGGAAGGTGCGCGTGTAGTGGTGCCCCAGCATGATGAGCTCCAGGGCCCCCTCGTCGCTCACCACGTAGCCCTCGAACCCCCACTCGCCACGCAGGATATCTGTCAGCAGCTTCTTGTTGGCGCAGGCGGGAACGCCGTTGATCCTATTGGAGAGGGGATGGGGCAGCCCGGACAGCCGGGCACCAGCCACCCCATGGGCAGCCCAGCCTGCGCAGCCCCCACCGTGCTCGGTACCTGTTGTAGCTGCACATGAAGCTGTAGGAGCCGGCGCGCACGCACGCCTGGAACTGGGGCAGGAAGGTGGTGCGCCAGTCCCGCTCCAGCACCTGCAAGCACCATGGCAGAGAGGGGTCAGTGCCCGGGGGGCCGCCTGCTGTCCCAGGGCCCTGCCACACTCACCTTGGCGTCGAAGCTGAGCCTGGAGACGGGGATGTTCTCGGGGCCCCCGTGCACGCTGAAGTGCTTGCAGCCGGCGCTGGCCTTGATGTAGCGGGGGTGCTGGCCCTGCAGCCCCTGCACGAAGCTGCGGGCTAGCTCCCCACTCAGGAACGGGTCCTCCCCGTAGGTCTCCTGGCCAAGGCACAGGCAGGGCACACACAAGAACCCACACACCCCACACC